GCCCACTCAAGGTCCCAAGCCTACACTGCTTCATTTGTCCCCCTTCACTTCCAGGTTAAATCACTCTCCTTCCCTTGGTGCAGAGCTCACCAGCACCACTTAGAGTCCAGCTTGTAATTATCCCTCCAAGGGCACCTTATCGCCCTACCTCTCTCTAGACCTACTTCCCAGCCAAGACGTCCCTCTCTGCTGAGAGCACCATGTCATTCTTGCTCAGCCCTAGTCATCTCCTTTCTGGATCACCTCATACGTCTCTCTAGTGGGGGAAGAGGTGACACTGACTCTATCCCACCCCTTTTCCCAGTGTCGTGCTTGTCGTTTGCACGTCTCAGTTCCTAAATGACCCTCGTGGATCTTCTGCAGCATTTCTTTTCAGAGGCTCATTGGAATTACAACCTTACTGCCCTTGAAAATCACCCCATCTACCTTAGTAAGTTCCTGGCTGCAGTTGCAATGGTCTCTTATATTTAGAGAGCGGCTGCTTATTTCTTCAGGCCACCCTTTAATTATCACTTTGCTAAGCAAGGGCGGCAGAGACTTCCCAAAAGTGGGGGAGTCAGGGGGCCCTGCCCCCACCCCCAACCCTCCTCTTCCCCCCAAGGCCCTGCCCCCACCACTTCTCTTCCAGAGTCCCCACCCCAGCCAAGCCGGAAGCCACAGAAGGGTTGGGGAGCCCACCCTTGCCACTCAGGGGCCGAAAGCAGCCCCCCTGCCAGTGTCCCCCTCCCAAGCCCTCTGCCCAGGGCAGGTGGAGGGACCCAGGCTCCCCACAACTACCTGCCAGCTCTTACCCTGACCTGGCTTAGGCCAGGGGGCAGGGCCTTGGAGCTGGAGCCAGGCCATGGTAAGATCTGTGTGGGCAGCTGTGGGGAGCCATGGCATGGATCCTCCATCCCCCCTGGGTGGGGGCTCAGGTGGTGGGGACATGGGCCGGAGGCTGCTCAGGGTCCCGGCACCACGGGCAGGTGGAGGGTCCACTGTGGCTCCCCACAGCTGCCCACACAGCTCTTACCAGGGCCGGGCTGCGGCTCCAAGGCCCCGCCCCTTGGCCGGAACTGGCTCGGGGTAAGCACCATGCAGGCAGCTTTGGGGAGCCGGCACAGACTCTCCACCTCCATCTGCCCTGGGTGGGAAGCCCAGGGGGCGAGGACACAGGAGGAAGAGGAGGGGAAGGGGTCTGCCATGGCGAAAAGTGAACAGGCCAGGCCTGTTCTGGCGCCACCCTGTTCTGGCGCCACTGTCTCTAAGGATCCCCGATTCATCTTCTCCGTTTCCCCTCTTATTTGTTACAGTTTCCTGTTAGCTACAGGAATTGACTTTACAATCATATCTACATAGGCTTGCATCTCTCTCTCTCTTTCGTCTATTTATCCACTGCAAAGCAGGGCAGTGCTATTCTCCCCATTGTACGGATGGGGAACAGAGACAGAGAGACTAAGGCCCAGATTCCCGGTGGTATTTGCTGTCAAGGGGAGTTAGGCTCCTTTGAGGATCTGGACTAAGCCACTTGCCCAAGGTCACACAGGGTGTCTGTGGCAGAGCAAAGATTTTAAACCTACTCTCCTAAATTCTAGCCTAGTGCCTTCACCACTGGGCCATCCTTTCTCTGCAAGTCCTAGGTCTGCAAAACCCCTTTTGCAGCCTGTCCCAGTACCTCAGCATTCCATCTGACAGCTCCCCCACACACCGTGTCCCTCATTAAAATGCATCTACTGCTGTCCGACCAGCAGAGGAAAGGAAAATAATATTATCCTTTTCTGCCCTCTTAGATCCTGCTGGCCGTGACCTGAGGCAAAGGGAATAGGGCTGGCTCACAGTGATTTCTTCAGCTACCTGGAGTAGACATTTTCCTAGGGTAGAGGTTGCAGATTTATTGCAATAAGTTGCGGTGTGATAGTAGAAGATACATAATATTGCCTGCTATAACTGAATGTTAATTACATTTCTTAATTGGACCACTAGAGGACGGCAAAGGATTATTTTAGTTTCTTATTGGCACACTCTGTAGACGAGCTACAAGTGGGTTCCCGCCTTGGGTCATAGTGTATGTCTACACTGTAATAAAACACCCATGACTGGTCTGTATCCGCCAACTAGGGCTGCAGGGCTATAAAACTGCAGTGTAGATGTTCTAGTTCAGGCTGGAGCCCGGGCTTTGGGATCCACCCCACTCACAGGATCCCAGACCCCGGGCTCCAGCCTGAGCTCAAATGTCTACACTGCAGTTTTGGACTCCAGCTGCGGGGTTATAAGTCAGCTGACACCAGTTGCAGGTGTTTTGTGGCCGTGTAGACATACCAATAGAATTTAAGGTCAGAAGGGACCATCAGATCATCTAGTCTGACTTCTAGCATATCACAGGCCCCCCAACACCACCCAGCACCCACACGTTAAGTCCAGCAAACAAGGAGTTCAGAATTCACTATAAGGATAATCTGGTGGCAGACTGGATAATAAGACACATAACCTTTCACCCTGTACAAATTGGGACCAGGTCAGTAGGGAATGAAAATTATTGCCATCTAGTATAGAGGTGGGCAAACTACGGCCCGCAGGCCACATCCGGCCCGCGGGACCCTCCTGCCCGGCCCCTGAGCTCCTGGCCCAGGAGGCTAGCCCCCGGCCCCTCCCCTGCTGTTCTCCCTCCTCCCCCACAGCCTCAGCTCGCTGAACTGCTGGCGCAATGCTCTGGGCGGCGGGGCTGCTGCAGGGCCACGGCCTGACCCGGTGCTCTGTGCTGCGCGGTGGCGTAGCTGGCTCGAGCCAGGTGGCACAGCTGCCTGTCCTGGTGCTCTGGGCGGCTGTAGCGCCGCCAGCCACCGGTGCTCGAGGCAGTGCGGTAAGGGGGCAGGGAGTGTGTGGTGGGTGGGGGGGGTAGGTTGGATAGGAGGGCAGGGAACAGGAGGGGTTGAAGTGGGGTGGTAGGGGGTCGTCGGGGGGAGCAATCGAGGGAAGGGGAGGGGGGGTTGGAGTGGGAGCGAGGGTGGGGGGGCAGGTCGAGGGGGCG